ATTCATTCAGCAATAATTTCTTCTTGTAAGATAGCAGATCGATGGGTGTAACCGAGGTGCAAGTTGCGCGTTTTGAAGGAAAATATACTGGCTTCCAGAGGTAACATGAATTCATTAAACAAATCACATTATATGTTTCAAATCCCTTTACACCTCTATTTCGAAGTGTAAAGAATAACTTAGCTATGAAAATACATTTTTGTCCCATATTAATCAGTTCAACCAAATAAATAACAGATTAAACAATCTAGCAATCATACGTACGTGAGAATTCATGTCTTGTTTGAGACGACTACTTCAAAAATAAAATAATAAATCTATGGCTTCAGATCCTCGTTGTTCATGTAAAGATAGCTTATATGATCATCGAATAAGGAAGTTATGGGCGATGGAGTCCATCCGGCATATCCCCTCTCGATCTTTGCTAAACATGTATCCTTAACATGCTTGAAAAGAAAGTGATTTCCGACAACAGGTTGATCCGCGTATTCCTCAAAAGGCATCCACTGGGTAGCAACCAGATGCTAAAATTTGTAAGCACTACGTTTTATAATTTGTGGGAGAAGACAATTCGTGTCAGAAAGCAATTTAAGATACCTGGGCTTCCTCAATTTCCGAGTCTTGCTTATGGATGTCAAAGGATAGTGGTTGCAGCGTGCACAAAAAGATCAAGTCCGACTTGCCAAAGAAGCACCTGTGCATCTGCCTATAAATTGGAACAATGATTGAAATAAATATTGAAATTCTTACAATATCTAAAGCACTCGTCCCGTCTCCACCCACCTAAACAAAAACAAATTTTTACCGTTCCTAATAAATATAGTTAGCTACATGGAATCGGCTCTTATGCAAAACATGTCCTAACACCTTCAGTGTCATTCCCTTAATTTAGGATTTATTTTAATTATTTCTATTATGTCCACACGTTCATCTTAACATCCTCATTTCTGTCACATTTTCTCTTTTTGACACATTGTTATTTTCTATGGCTAATCCAGGTGGTAGAAAGATCAAAACATTCTATGCCGCAAGAACCTTTATAACAAAGCTGGCATGTCATATGGATTCTCATCGAGAAGGCACGTATAGTTCAGTAATTACACCAAAAATAAAAGTAAACTCTGCGCCAAAATTTGTCTCGATCGACTGCCCATTTTTCCTCTTGGGTGAGTAACCAGTAAGTTTTATAACTTTCTCATGCAAGTAGGAAAAGAAACTTCAGATTAAAAGAAAATCTTGAGTAATATTTCATTAAAAACTTTTACCTGAATGCTATCACATCAACAAATTCCGTATTGATCTGCAACAATAGATATCCAGCTCTCTCAAAATACTACACAAAATGCTTGGAAATGAGGAAATTAGATGTATTGTTTATACCTACACAGTGATTACTTACTCCTGTTTCTTCTTTTACTTCTCTTGTTGCACCTGTGAATATATCCTCTCCCTGTGGATTAAAGAGGTCGACACACTGATCATAGAGATATAAGACCTCCTGTTGAAACTTAGACTTCTGGAAACATGCATACCTCTTCAAGAATACCAGTAGGGATCTTCCAAATACCTGTTCCCCAATATCTGCCAAGCTTTTCCCGTACAACTAGCAACTGTAAAAGTGAAATTGCAAAATTTGAAATAGAAATTCAAGAAAATATTGTTACCCCTATTCGATAAATTTTATTCAGTAAGCTGAAGCACAACTTTTCACGTTAATATCGGAACATAATATAGTTCTCAGAGAAAAAACTATATCCAAAATAAGAGTTGTGAATTTGCTGATGAAGAAATATGAAAAAAATATGTACGTTGAACATCAACAAAAAATGGAATGAGAAAAAGCCACAGCTCTATTATGATGTTCAAATGGGACATAGATAGAAATTGCTTCTCACATACAGAAACTTCAAAGTACCTCTCTTTTATCATTCATGACAATAGCACCAATGCGGATTTGGTGTGAAGCATTTGCAGGGATAGCGCTCGTAGTATCAGGAATCCAGTATGCAAGCATCAAGTACTGAGGCTCTGCATGATGATACCAAAATCCTTCCTGCCAAAAATGCAGCACTATCTGATGAATTCAGGTGTCAAAACATGATAATTGATCCAACAATACTATACTGGTAAAACTACTAAACAAACTGCTGCAAGTTTTTGAATATTCTAGTCCCAAAAATCTTATAGAACTGGAAAAAAAGATAGGAACAAACTTCAGCAACAGGTACCAAATCAGAAACCTAACAATCACACTACTTCTATAGTTGTTAGGGTTGACCATTTAAAGTATAAGGAACCAAAACCAGTAAATCACATTTTCATATAGATAATGTCTTGTGTTTTGAGCGAAGGAAACATCATGGAATCTGTAGACCCACCATGAGACACATAAAAATATCCATGCCTCAAAGTATGACCACTCTGTTTGACACGATATTCTCAATTCTAGGAAAAGCCAAAAGCCATGAAATGCTAATATGAAAAAGACCTTAAAATATCACAGATATAACGAACAGCCATTTTACCTTGACTGCAATTTCAACAAGATTAGCAAGTCCAATTGGTAGTTTGATCCAAGCACCCTTCTTTCCCTGCAAGATAATTTTGTCAAACTAACAAAAAGGAACATAAAAATCAAGAAATTTTAGCATTGGATCAAATGCATATTACCCCATGTAATTATGTCTAAACAAGAGGGAGTCATAAATTGCTAAACAGTTGCTATATGCAATTTTCTGAAATGAATTGGTTACTGTGATGCTCATTCCACACAAGCACCTAGACCAGTGCAAGTATTTAGGAAAATGATTTCAAAATAATTGATCAGATAACATATAAAATCACTTTTAGCATATAAGTGGCCGACGGGAAACCCATAAACATTCAGAGTAATCACTGAACCACAAAGACCTTTCATTCTACAACTTTTTTCCCAAGTCATATTAAACACGTGAATCAAGAGCAAGAATTTAAAGATTCTGTGTAAGTTCAGAATGAACAAGACATTAAAATTTTGAAAGTTCTCGAGTCTAGCAACACAACATAGTGGATATGTTAGTTTCCCTGATCATTCTCTTTACATTAATGATTGTTTGGTAGTGCTTTTAATTGTTTATAAGCAGTGGATAAAGATAATAAGTGGGTAGTAACGGTATCCTAAGTAATGTGTTAATAAATGCCAAACATGTTAAGCTTACAGTGAGAAATGTTCTTAGTTTGTATCATGTAAGAATTAAGATACCGCTAGGCAACACCATTCATGCATGAGTAGTGTCGACTAAAAGGTAAATTCCTCTTTAATTATACATTTTCATAGTTAATAATACGGACTTTGCACGGCCACAGACATGTCTACAAGTGTTACAGTGGACAAGAGTGATAGTTTATCAAGTGCCCGATAGTGACTGAGAATGGAATTGTTGTAAAAAATTATACAGTCAATGGCATCTCAAAAATGAAAAAAGGATTAACAAGTTGAAAGTCTAACAGAAACTTGCTCCAGCGTCATAGGAACATATACCTCTAGCTTCCACTGGGAAAGAGAAGCTTTAAGCATTGCCTGAAAAACGTTGGGGTCCATAGGCTCCTTCATATCCACTATGACTCCCTCATGGTCATCCTCATAAGCAGGAAGCATTTGAAACTTTGGAACTCCGTCTTCAACAAAATTTTGCTCCATTGAACTGCATAATATCTGAAATGAGATATAACATTCTCTAGCGCAATCTTTCAGACATCCACTCGGCATAATGAGATCTCAACTATACTGTTCATGAATTTAACTGCCATACTATTTACACTGAAAATCAGTTCATTGATCAAATAAGCAAAATAAAAAAAATAATTAAAAATTGATTCTGGTTATACTATTAAAATACAGACTGCAGTGCCTAAGCAGTAGGCAATTCTTTGGCAAGAAAATTGATTTTACCAGAACAGAATAAACCATTATCCGTCAAACAGAAATCAAAACTAGCAATTATAATTAATTCTATATCAGGATAAGGCACGCGATATGATAAATGAATTGCAATACATTTAATCTAAAATAAACGAGTACCTTTGCAGAAACAGCACCAAAACTCCGAAGTACTGCTGTTGCCAGTTACTGCTGTGAACAATAATTGATAAGGATTCGTACTTGAATAGAGTTAAGGATGAGTGGAGACACTAGCATGCGCCGAGTGCGTACAAATAGCATACCTGGAAGTTGATTACGTCATTTGGGGGGCCCACACACGTAGCCGCCCGCCGGCCGACGATTTTATTACGTGTTGGCGTGAGGGGCGGATGGCCATACCCTACACTGAAAAGGACACGTTTAGCACGACTCATGCACAGCAAAATTCATCGACTTGCGCCCACAAATCAAACGCACAAGGATTGCTTGAAGGTGCCGTGCTAGTAATCTATTGTTTGGTGGCCATTTTATTTAGAAACTGTTGTTTTGAATAATAAATCTTTGGAGAATGTCAAAGTTAAAAAGTGATATTAGATGGCTTCAATAATTATTTATGATGGCCAACAAACTGAAGACTACTAAATTGGCACTACCTAGAGCACCACAGGCTAGGCCTACACCATCATGAGGCAATCGTTCACTATGAGATCCTCCAAGTTTTATTAGGCTGTCTATCACTACGAGGTCATCTACTTTCATACTAGATCGTCTACCATTATGAGGTCGTTAACCACTATGAAACTCTCCACGTTTATACTAAGTTGTCTACCACTACGAGGCGGTCTACGTTCAATACGAGGCCCTCTACCACTACGAGGTCAACAAAACACTTCACCATAAAAACAACCACGAGTTGGATGAGAACTATTCAACGGTTATCATGGACACAACCAATCGCTGGATAGGCGGAAGTCATCCACTTAGAACGTGGGGGTAGTGGGAAGTGTTATGTGGGATATGTGGCACAATAACCGCCGAGCAATTACATGGTTTCAATACATATAAATACTCCTAAAGCGAGACAGGTATGAGTCTTGAAATTTTGGTTATTTGAAAATTTTATCTTTTCTTCCTAAGTCTACGTTCCTAAATCTCTAACTAATTCTCACGCCCAATGTACAACGGGGGAGAAAGTCTCAACCTTATTTCGTAGGTAACATTTGTTTATCGGAATAATAGAAACACATTGCGCCGCCAAGAGGACAAGGAAGTTTGTTTCATAACTTTTTCAAAAAGTACGAAAAAAAATTTGAGTTCACTGTTTACGTGTATAAAAATTTATTTTGTGAATGTATGATTGAAAATTAGTATGTTAAAAAAATTGAAAGATCGAAAGACAAACGGGGCTAACTGATGAATATAAAATAAGAATTATGTTAAGTGTACATTCCATAGTATACACTCTTGTTGACATTGTGTAGGAATTCGAAAATAGATAAATCTACTTGTACATCAAAAGATGTACATCAAAGTATCCACCCCTATCACATGGGGGTGGGACTCACTTGTATAAAATATTTTTTATTTAAGTGGATCTCACCCCCATGTGAGAGGAGTGGACACCGTGATGTATATCGTGATGTACTCGTAGTAAAACCGTTCAAAAATTGTTGTGCAAAAAAGTGCGTGTTTTTTTTTTCTTTTAAACTTCCTATCATATGTTAACACGCGACACAATATCAAAAATGATGTCAAATAAGATGTACATGTATCATGATTGATGAAATAAACCATAATTACTAAGGCTCTGTCTGCTCCCCATTTTTCTTGGATTTTCAGCAGAAAATGCACCGTTAGTGGGGCCCGGCTGAGAGATATGCAGTCAAGAAGTGCGGCCCAACGGCCAGAAAATGAATGAAAATGTTGCCAAAAATTTTTGCCCGACGGACTCTAAATATGCCTTACACTGAAAGGGTACAACTTGGATCTTGAGACTTTCTTTGTATTTGAATGCGACTGAAGATTGCTTAAATAATTGGGTCACGTTGAAGCACCTGTTTGAATTGTAATCTAAACTAAAATTAACAATTAATTTTAATCATATATTTTGTGGAATTTATAATTTTTCAATCATATATTTCATCAAATTTTACTAAAAATCTATTTTCAGATAATTGTTAGATTCAAACATGCAACTGCACAATATATATTTTTCTATACAGATTTGAATATTTTGTTATTATTTAGAAAAAAGGTCAACTAGATAGCAATTTATAGATGACTTTAGCCATCAATTTTGAATAATTGAATCAAATGTCTATTCACTAGACAACGACGCGCTTTGATTGAAATTCCTTTCATATTTGTGTTATCGAACCCCCCCGGTTTTGTGGACTTTATTTTTAAAAAAAATAACGGCTGTATTTTTTATTCTCATTCTACAAAAAGCGGATTCAAACAAAAGTTAATTTTTTTTCATTTCAACTATTGTAGGTGGGACCTCATTGTCAACTAAAACAACTTTAAAAACATATCTCATTGATCAATCAACATTTATGCGACTTATACACGACAGTCCGTCCATCAACGTAATGTAATGGATTCTATTTCGTCCTGATAGACGAAAATCAAACATTACATTATTAAGGCGTTGAATGTCACTACAACTTCAAAACGGAAATTTTAAAAAAAAATCTAACTAAAGGAAAAAAATTTCATTTTCCCCTTATTTATTTCGTTGCCTTTTGTTATTGTATTCAGAGTTTGTTTGGGACGGATTAAAATTGAAAATATGGTCGTTATTGGGTCCCAGTCGTCTAATAAAAGTCAACTCCAACGGTTATATTTTCAATTTTAATCTGATTTTAATCCTTCCCAAACAAGCTCTCAATTTTAAATAGGAAATATTTTTTTTAAAATGCTATGACATTTTAATATTCGAACGGAACACATATTTTTCCATATTCTGATCATTTATTAAATATAATAAATCAAACAATGAAGCATTCTTCCCATTGGAATAGACAAATTAGGCATCGGCTGTTGAACTGAGCTCTTGTCTGAAAGGGATAGGTTTGAATAGGGTTCGGAGTCGAGGGGGACAATTTTTTTATTTTTTATTTTTTTTCTTTTCCATACTGGAATAATACATTGAAAAAAAAAAATAATAATAATAATAAAATAAAATACTATTAACTTACTAAACTAATTGGGCATGGAGGCAGGCCTACTTGATTAAAAAATTTAAGATTTAAATCTTCAAAAATAAATGTTCAGACCTAAAACGGTACTTTATCCATAAGTTTTAAGGACCCAAAATAATTTGAGAAATTCCATTTGTACGGAAATATTTCAACAGAAATGCACCAAAATACTCACAATGGGGTGGCCCCACTGTGTATTTAAAAAAAAAAGTTCGCAGGCCCCACATGGTGTGAATGTTATGTTGAATTTCTGGTGAATTTGCTCTGTACATGAAGCAGCATTCAAATAATTTTTCCAACTTTTGAACTTCACCATACATGTCCATTTGACTTTGAAAAGGCTTCTTGTCCATTTATGTTTGGACTTTGGTATCGATGTTTGGAGTTTTTTTTCAGCTATAATATACGGAGTCATGATGGTGGTATTATCACGCGTATTAGCTCACAAATAACATGTGTTACTTGACAAGTAACTAATTTTTATTAATTTAAAAATATTTGAGTAGATTGTGGCGTCAGTGGCAGCGTACCTAGAATAATCGGGTAATATGTGTATTACTTTACAAGTTACTATTTTTTGTTAATTTAATTGATAATTAATAGGTTATGGCGTTGAATGAGGCGAAGCTGGTGAAAGTATTGATTTCGAATGGTGGTATTTTTTAGATTGGGTTGGTTGAACAAAAAGTAAGAGTAACACAACATGTTATCGGCATAAAACACTATTTTTTTAATAAAAAATAAAATACGATAAAACAACACGTTACCTTGTACGACATAGTGATTTTTTTTTATAAAGAGTAATTAAAGTAACATACCCGAAAATATTATTTTTAATAAAAATAAAAATATTTTAATGTTACAGTACTAGTAATACAATAACATGTAATGCTATCCTAACATGTAATTCTTAAAAAAATTGTTAATTTTTAATGGAAATTTAAAATATTAATTTTAAATGAAAAGTAGGAATATATATATATATATATATATATATATAGACAGAGATAAAAGTAAAATATTCATTTTTAGAGAAAAATGATGTATTTTTAAATTTATGGACGAAAGTAACTCCCTGTTTGATGCCTTTAAAAAAATTTAAGAGAAAATGAGTTTTAGAGTAGTGATTTTCTGGATAATATATAATTAAAAAGTAGGAATTTTTTTTGGTTTATGTGTTAAATATTTTATCGTAAGAATGTATGGTTAAGTTTCAAACGAGGGCTAAGATATTTGCGAAGTTATTTTAAATGGAACGATGCATAGCTAAGGTAGTTACAAGATAAAATTTCAAAATTAAGAAACTTGTCTTAAAATTTCAAAACTTGGGTCATCATTCACATTTTAATAATCAAATATATTAAAATCACAATATTATATAGTTTATAATCACAATTACGTATTAGTCACGATCACAAATTTTATAGGTCACAGTTTATTTACTAGTCACAAATTATCAATTTAGTTGGTTACACATTATTTTTTTATCATAAATTTTATATGTCACAACTTATTTGTTGTTCATAATTATCAAATTAATAGGTTATGCATTGTTCTTTATTCACATGTCATAAATTTTATAGATCACAACTTATTTCACAATAATAAATTATCAAATCATTTATTTACAAATTATTTCTCAATCATAAATTATCAAATTATTTTCACTATTTTTTAAAGTGAAAATTACACCCACGCCTACATCTAAAAATCAAGTTATAACACTTTTTTTTTCTTCCAAAGATTAGGTTATAATTATTATTTTTAATTTAAAATATATAATTATATATCAATCTCTCAACTAAGAACCAAACCCACCCAAACTCCAAATCCTAAAAATCTCACCCAATTCAACACACCCACTCAACCACCACTTTCTATTACACGCGCTGACGCATAATACGGCGAAGTCACAGCAACGATGAACGTTGGTGGTGGTTGTTGATGCAAGTGGTGGTGGTGGTGCAATTTTGATCGGTCGGAGTTGCGCGGGAGGTGGAGATGATGGTTTTTGGAGTGGTGGTTGTGAGGTGTGATGCAGTGACAATGTGTGTAGTGGTGGTGGAGCTGGCAGTGATGATGAGGTGGTGGTGGTCCAGGCGATGGTGGTAGCGGAGAGGTGGTGTTGGTCACAAATGATGACGACAGCAACAATGGTGGCGCAACGTTTGGTTGGTGTCGATGGTGGAGTGGAGTGGGGGTGGGGGTGCGATGAAAAATGTTTGTGACTA